AAACTTCAACAGTCACTTCGCTTTTATATATGTAATAATGGAAATTATTTAGGGCTTGAAGAACACTTAGTAGTTCTTTTTGAATTAAAAATACCTTCTTTCTGCAACATTCATTGCCTTGCTATAGTAGGCAATTATGTTATTTTTTGTATTGTACTTGTGACAACACTGTTCCCATTGCAAAATCACTAACATCTGTATCTAACATTAGTAGCATTTCACGAGTTGGGTATGCTAATTTAGGGGTAGCAGTCATTTCTTTTCTTCCATTTGTTAAATGTTTTCATAATCAGCAGTCGAACAAAACATATTTGGCTTTTCAAATAATTTGTTTAGAGGATATGTCAGAAACTTATTTTACCAAATGACAATAGTGAGAGCACAGTCCTAGAAATCACTTTACTTCACACATGTTCTTTGGTTTTGGTTAATTATGGACATAGTCAATCTTCGATAAGTTGGTAGACACTCCCTTTCTGACGATTATGTGTTCCAGAAAACTCACCTGTTGATAAAACAGTTCAAACTTCTTGGGATACAGATTGAAGTTCTCTTTCCTAAACCAATACAGAACTTTCATCAGCCAATAATAAATACTATCAAGGGTCATCCCATGTGTGATTATGTCATCCAAGTAGCTGAGTACAACGTTTCAAAGTAGTCAAAGCAGAGCACACTTCATTAATCATAGAAATTTAGCAGGTGCATAATATAATCCAAGTGGTAACATGACAAATTGGAACAATTGGTGTAAAGGCTGTCTTCTTTCTAGTTGCTTTGTTGATTTGCACTTGCTAATATCCATTCTTAAGAACCAAGGTTGAAAACCATTTTGATGCAGCCAGAGAATCTAAAGTTGATTCAATCCTTAACAGTAGGTAGGCATCTTTCCTTGTGGCTTCATTTAGTTTCTGGCAGTCCGTGCAGAACCGTTTGTATCCATCCTTCTTCTTCATAAGTACAGAAGTCCATGTCCAAGCATAATTAATCAGTTATATCATGTCTTGTTTCATCTTTCGTTTTTGAAAGCATCAGTCTGTTTTTAAATGGAGTTGTTTGACTAACTAATGTATTGGAGCTACATCTCTACTACGAACCTTGAGAGATGTTTTATTTGCTGGGCCTAAGTCATAAGGCGGCCCACTGAAGAAGGTGCCTTGATATTCAATGAAGAAGATATTTAATCTCTAACATTCATCAGCTGTAAAACCTTCACAGTAATGATAATAGAACTCTTTTAAGTGAGGTGTGTGGTAATCTGTCTTTGTATGAGGATTTGACATATCAGACACCTACATCTTTCCTTAAGGGTGACTACTTTTGATGTTCTTCGATATGGAAGTACAATCTGTACACCTTCACATATTGTAAAGTCCCAAATTTTATTATTTGTTGTATTCCTCGATCTAATGATGACATCTTCATTATTTTTAGATCCACGAAATCATTTTCTAACCATTGATCTTTCAGTACATGTTGGAATGTTTAGTTGTACGTCATCCAAGTCAGTAGATGTAAATTTATTCCCAATATTTCTTAGTATGAAGATTTCACCTCTTTGTGGTGCAATAACTGACCTCCTCATTATCACGAAGGTTAACCTCTGGTGTAGTAACTGTCATGTATTGCATAACGAATTTTTGATAAGAGACTGTAAAGCTATTAGAAGCTAGCCTAGTCTCACATTCATGTCTCTGTGAAGTTATTTCCCAATATGATGAGGTATAGAGAAGCTTCCCACAGTTAGGGTAGCCTCCAACTTCCCATTTACTAGAATTTTATATCCTCTTATTGTTAACATCACTCAAACATCTTTCATCATTGCAAGAGACAATTTCTAACTGTTCATTACCAAACTGGGTCAAACTATTAGAGCTATAGAACCAGTGTTGATTAACATGCATCACTAGATCTGTGGATTCGTGAACTGGTTTAAATAATGAAATTTTATCTTATTTGGATCAAATCTGATATTTTCAGCTGAATGTTTCTCCTTAAGTCTAGCTAATTTCATTGCCTCGTGTCTGATTAACCCTTTTTTGTGGGTGGCCATAAAGACTCATCCTCAAGGTGATGTCTCCTGTTGTTTAAACAGATGTTGATTACTCCCAGTTTCAATTGTAGTGATCAGGTTTCCAACATCCATAACAGTTCCCTCTTCCTGAAATCATTTGGAAATATTTCTTATTCCATACAGACTTTTGTCTTTGTTGCAAATTAGGTTACCCCAAGAAGGCTGTTAACGCGAGTCAAAGAAAATGCAGATTTAAGAATGTCGAATAAATCAAGTTTAGTACAACATGCACTAGATGAGTGTGACGTAGTCATTCATTAAAATTATATTAAGATATTAACAAGGGCCGATGATAAACAAAGCCTTCTGTAAACGAGAACTTACTTAAACTGGTTATTTCAGTTTACAAATTGCTGCTTATTTATATTTATCCATGATAAAAATTCAAGAAATCACATTAACCACAACGTACAATTCCACTAAAGTACATATTTCACAGAGAACTGGAAAATAAAATGAGAAGAAAAGTGTTGGGGTATTCTTGGATAATGTGATTTTAATGCAAGTATCAGATAATAGGTTGATCAAACAGAAAGTTTGTGAAGTACGTTGTGAAAACATGATTGAGTTTTAAGCAGTTAGAAATAGCTAGACTGGACACATATGATGTTAAGTGTAAAACAGTCTTTATTATATCACATAGCAAAAAACACTGTGCATATTTTTATAAGCAGACACTAATTTCTACTAGATATGTGAAAAGAGCTTAAACTTTTTCCTTTCGAGATGGGTCTCAGCAGAACTAGTCACAATAAAAACCAAGTAGAACTGAAAGAGAGAATACAGGTTCCATTTTACAAGAAACCTTTATCGTTTCTCTCATGATAGTGCTATCACATGACTGGTCATTCTCTCACATAATTTGTTGGCTGTGAAATACAAATGTCATCCACTAAGCCAGCAAATAACATTACACTTCTTGACTCTTTCAACATGGACGTGAAATATGACTACAGTATCTCTTTAGACAAAGTAGATATTATCTTTAGAAGAGAACGAAGGCACAAAGGCATTTAGAACAAAGCTGTTGAAAAACTTCAACAGTTTTTCTGGACCATGTGTTTATGCCAAAATTGCATAGAAATTAACTAATCAAAAATTATTTAAAATTCCAATATTACTAAAAATTATGGAGAAATATCTGCTATGATAGCATATCATACGTTTACAACAATCTGTTGTATATTTGATTTAGATCTCTGTAATTTATATAACTGTTTTGCCAGCATGGTAACAATTCAGGTTCAAGTGTTGCAGTTTTCAAAAATAGGTAAACTTGGAAATATAGTTTGTTTTTTTTAGAATATTTAAAATTATAGATATTTTCAAACATGGAAAAATAAGCATTTTTCGTGTTGTGCAACAAAAGACATAAATTTCGACTTGGTTGATGCTCTGACTTTATCTTTCATTCACATAAGTGTAGTTAACTAAAGTTATAAAGTTGACTCAGATACACGGGACTGTTATATCCCACAAGGTTTAAGAGAAGATGTGGTTGTTTTTTTTATTTGCTGAAAAACCAGGTAAAAGTACAGGTAATACTGTATTAATATGGTCCATTCCATAGTACTTCTCCTGCAGAAATTCAATTGTATTCTCTTTTGTTTTAGTTTATTGGGCCATTCGGCATTGTGTCATGTGGAGTGCTGTTTCTCACAATACTTGAAAACCAGATGTTTAGCCTGTAGGGAATACAGCACTCAAACATTTCATGTGTGTGTAAACATGCAAGTGGTCCATTTTTCACAATAATTAGTAATTGGGTGCCTGTCCTGCAGGGAGAACAGCAATCAAACATTTCACCTGTGTGGACATACAGTAGCCAGAGGTTATATTTATTGAAGGATTGGAAATTACTGCTGTAAAATGTAGTTGCTTTTAATTTTGTGTAAATTTATTTCTGATTTTTTAATTTTCCGTATAATTTTTGTTTTTCTATTAACTCCTGTATCTTTCTGATTGCTCTTTTTTCCTCAGTTTTATTATTTCAAGTAAATTTTCTATCTCACTTCAAGCACGTGTTGTTAACTTGAAGTTCATTCTAGATCGTATTTCATTTTTACCAAGATAACCCAACTCCTGAGATAAGTCTTTTAACATTTTTTTTTCATCATTGGATAGTTTCTTTACGATTATTTCATAAAAGGCAAAGTCCCTGAACTTAATGAAGGGGAAGTATTTATTTCTTCTACTAGAAGCTCCAAAAGCACACTAAAATGGTAACTTCTTAAATTTCCTCTCTATGGCTTAAACTCAAACGGACTGATTAACACACTCGCTAACTAAGAAGTGGATCGACAACATTGTAAAAGAACGTGATCAACTAGCTAATTCTCTAATTAATAAATAAAAAATCCTTAACTCATAGGAATTTTTGTATTATCACAATATTCTCCCTCCTCGAGTCTAGAGAATTCGAGACGTCACTTTAAATTCAGTTAGATACTCGAGTATTTTCTAATCATTACATATCATTATTACGTCTTGCCAAAACTCCATCTAGCAAACAATACCAAAGTCTATATTAAAACATATTTCACAACAAAACTAATATTTATTTTTCAAAAAGTAATATACCGCTAGAGGGCAAAACTTGTTGTTATATTAACAGTCAAACGTGGTAAGTTTTAAAATGTTTTAAACTATAATTAATTTCACAATATTTTCGTTTACGTTTTTTTTTTAGAAAATAGTCAATTCTATATAATTACATCAACGTAAAAATTTTTAAACAATTTTTTAAATGCATTAATAGAAAAGTTAACGATATGAAATTTATAATAAATAATGAGGCTTAATTCAGTATGAATTATGGTTTCACAATAAAATAAAAATTCACAGAGCCACCAGTGGAATTTAAACTAAAGTAATTAACTTTTAAAACTAGGTCACATGTTCGTATAGGAGCATGCTATGAAGTGTTGCCTTTCCGTATTGAGTACGTTGTTTTTTAATAATTTTGTAAAGACAATTGTACGTACTACTAGTACTAGGTCAGTAGGTATGTTTAACTATAATATTTAATTTATAATATTTATAACACTTATACTACTTTTCACAGTATAATAAATAGTTTGAAATTTACAGTTTATTAATTTTACTTATTCAAGTTATTGTGTGACGATGTAGAACAACATTTTTTTTCGTGGGTGGAGGGGGGAAGAGCACAAATTGGGATGAAGATACTAATAATATATAGTAATATATCGTCTGGAGAAGCAATTACAACTAATTTTAGGTTCATTTTGTGTATGTAGAACTAAAAAAGTGATCTTATCGGTCCAGTAAAATCTCTTGTAATAAATTTACTTTAATATATGATACTATTTGAGTAACTTGAAGTTGTTTGCTTTGCTTTCTGTTGTAGCAGTAGATTCAGTGTGTTGTTTGATTTAACTTTCAACAACAGAATATGTCAAGCAAACAAGTTTTTATTTCTATAACTTACCATGTAATGATCTGAGGGAAACTTGCCTCTTCAGTCACTTTAAAGAAACAGGTGAGTCACTAACATGTAGAATTAAATAATAAATAAATATTCTTCTCAAAATCCAAGTCATCCTATTTCCATTTTCTTTTGGTTTTAATTTCATAAATTTCTTTTGACGTTTTCATCATTTGCTTCAAAATTACAAAATACCTCTCTTTTTTTTTTCTTTTCTAAATTTAGATGATAAAGAATTGCATTCTACTGTAAGATCGAAAACAGCTTTTTCTGTTCCATTATGCTGTAATGAACATGTATGTAAGGATGAATGTTCTATTAACTGTTCCCTATTTGACTCATCCTTACAAGGTGCAAATGATGCACACTGTAGTTTATCTGTATAATTTGTACATTGTGTTATAAATAATGATTAAATTACTGGTATATATATATATATATATATATATATATATAT